TAATGAGTATAGAGATGTTCAATACAAGGGTGTGATGGAAATGGATGAAATTGCGACCGCTACTTTTGGAAACAAGTTACGCATCATTTTGTGATTAATGACAAAACGTGATCCTGCAGTTCATGCCATACAATTCTAATCAGGTTCCAAGTAAAGCAGAGGTCGCAAAGTTTGATGCTAACAATGAGAAGATGAAGATTGTCTTGTGAAAGAAGATAGGGTAAGTACTTTAGGATAGTCTAATGTGGTTTTTTGCTGGATATCGTAGTTAGTAAATATTTTACAAAAAATGTACATAAATGCCACAATGTCAAATTTAACTAACAAAATAACCATTTCAATTTGATACGCCATTTTTCTTTGTTGGAGTTAATTTAAGTTCATAGTTCAACAGTGTAAAGGGTAACTGTTAGTAAATTTAATAGCCAAACTAAAGGTGTAGGTCAGTAACTTTGTTCGTAGTTAGGAAGAGTAACAAAGATGTTGTATGGCAGGAGTAATATCTATTCGATATGCATAAATGTAGGTTATTCAAGTTTTGCTGTGTAAGTTTACACATGATTTAGGTTGCGTAAGTTGCATAACAATCGATAGATATATAAAATAAAATAAATTTTCACATGTACAAAAAATTAATTATTACATGAATTGATTAAATTGATATAAATATAACCTTGAAAATCAAATTCTTGTATTTTTGTTTTATTCCTGTCTTATATTTCTCTTCTAATTTAATAGAATCTGCATTTTATACAATAAAATTTGGTAATAAATACCATTTTGAGAACAAAAAAAAAATTTAAGTTAAGAGTATTCTTTGTACTGTACCATTTACTCTCTGAAACTACGAAATTGCCTTTCTTTTTTTGAGTAGTCATAACCAACTAACCAAGTCCAAGGTGATTAGAGTGAACTGTTTTGGTAAGGTTGTAATTAAGTGTTGCCATATGAGTATTGGGCTTGATTTTTTTGTTTCCCTTAAAAAGTGTGGGTTGTTGGCTGTAGAAGTGCTATCGTGAGAAAAGGTTGTGAGAAAATGTTCTTTAGATCTGTACACTATCTACAAATTCTTTTTTGTTGCCGTCCCTTCCAATTCATGTGATCTTGTAGTATTGCTGCGGTTATTCAGTTGAGACAAAGAATTATCTTCAAGGAATTGTGGTGAATTTTTCTTCAAGATATGTGTACTCCACCTTATTATAAAAAATTTAATATTCATTGTTTGGTTTGAGAATGGCCTATGTGCATATATCTTGTAAAAATATTTCTGGTATTACAGTATATTCCAGGTGCCTGTCTTTTTGGTAAACTCTTGAAACTCCTTTGTCTTCAGCATATCGTAGTATATTGCAAATACCTCTTCTCAAAATCCAAATTGTTAAACTCTTGATAGAACTCTATTATAAATTGTTTTTCTGACATTATATCTGTGTTTTTTGATATGTTTATATATTAGCTTGTATATAATAATTGTACTTTTGTTGAATATTTTTCTGCTAAAAAATTGGTACGAAAGATCATCAGAAAAACCATAAAACTTTCGTTATTTTGATCAAATAAAAATCTTAACATTATTAACAATAATGATGTAAATGGCTTCAATCAATGTAACCATAAAGGCGTAAGGACGAAGGCTTTATTTTAACCAATAGTATATTAGTTGACATCAAATTATGTGAAAGAAATTTGAAAAATGTATTTATTCTTGAACAATATCATTCAGGTTTTATTTATTAACAATAATTTTTCCCGATCTGAAAATTTTTTTCTTATTAACAATAATAATTTTATATTAAAGTAAATTATATATAAAAGTTTATTTATTAATTATACATAAAAGTTTTTTGTTAAGTATACATAAAAGTCTAAATTATTCATCTAATAAGCTTAAATAGACTTTTCTTATAACCTTATTTCTTATCTAAACTTCTATATGCAATAACTGAATAGATTAGTACGATAAAATAAAAAACTTTCGTGCTAGTTTTATTTCATAATTTCATAATTTTAAATATTTTTAAGCATTTTAAACTTTATATATTTAAATATTTATTAAAATGATATGAAAATCTTAACAAAATACTGCGCCAAATGAAACAGAAGCTGCAAGCAAGTATTAAATTACAGAATTACACTATATTATGATATTTTATTTATATTTTTCATTATTGCAATTAGGAGAACATGAAAGAGGTCATGGCCATGGTCGTGGCCATAGCAGAATGAATCAACTAATTGAATTAGTAGAATTAAAGCTCCGAACGGTTCGGGCTAAACTGGGAAACCGATCTGAAACTGGCTCAAAATTCGGTTCAGTTCGGTTCAGGTATTAGAACTGAAAAACCGGCGGTTCAGTTCGGTTTAATCCGATTTTTTATAAAAATGCGAAAAACGAATAGCCGGCCATCTAGTGATCGTACAAAGTCGAGCCATATATCATTGGATTCGTCTCGACGAGACGCGTCGAATGGTGGTATGTCCATGTCTCTAGCATCGATAGATCACACGTTAACCCACGCTAAATGATTTATAAATAATTGGAATTAGCAAGCTATCTATCGGTCCTAGAGACATGATCTTAGCACCATTCGACGCGTCTCAGTGAGACGAATCCAATGAATATAAATTTGTTCGTGTACGACCACTGGATGGCGAATAATATCAAGTTTCGCATTTTTTTAAAATTTTCGAGCGTTAAAAATTAAAAATTCCGATACATGAATTTATTCGTCGTCCAATGGTCGTACAAATATGAATTAGGACTCATTGGATT